ACGTCGCATTTCCCAAATTTTCTCTCAATTTTAAGAAATATTTGTTTGTCCAACATCCATTCTAAGTCATCATTTTTCTGACGGGATAAGTAATCCGCTTCCGTGTTATCTGAGCCTGCAATGTGATTTGCCGAAAGCCATATATCTCTACTCATGCAAAATTCCCAGATATTTATTGTGAGGTTGTTTAGTGACTCAATCTTCCACCCATTTTTGAAATGTATGTGACCGCTACTGTGTTGTCCATATAGAGTTTAACATGACTATCATGAAAATCATTACAAAACTTTGTTAGCGCAATAAATCCTGCTTTGAGTTCTAAGTAATTAATATGGTGTTCTTTTTCCTCTGCTGACCATTCTCCTTGACATCCCTCTCCGGTAGTTTCATTGAAAGCACCCCAGCCCGTTAGAGAGCTATCTGTTTTATAACTACACTGGGATTGGCAATGTTAAGGAGTCGCGGAAATTTATTGACATTTTTGATCCACCATTCAATAGTTTCTTTACTTGTCACAGATATATAAATTTTTGCCTCAAAATTTCCGGCATTTGCTTTTAAAAGTTTATCTTTTTCGATTTCCAGCACTTTGTAGTACAGTGGTGCATAACGGACCCCGGGTTCGCTTGACACTAATTTGCCAATTAACTGTGACAACTCTCTTATCGTTACTTTATGCAGATTAAGGATTTCTTGGCATTTTTCTCTTATCGAATCAGCACGCTCCTTAGTTAAAGTAACTGACATTAATTCAGAATTTATCACAAATCCAAGGAACTGAATAGATTTTGTTGGTGTAAACACAGATTTCTCAATGTTAATTGTCAACCCAAGACTATCAAGAAGATTTGCTGTTTCTGAAATATTATCCTTACACTCAGAATATGTTTTACTGATTAATAACGAATCGTCAATGTCATTGGTGTGTCCTCGTTTCCGTAGAGTAGAAAAAGCGGGATTCAACATTTTAGTAAAAATTCTCGGGGCTGATGCTAATCCCATGGCAAGACACGTGTATTGATATTTTGATCCCTTCCAATAAAATCTTAGATATTTTCTATCATTTTCATCAACAGGACATGAATAATATGCGTCCTGCAGATCTATTGAACCGAAAAAACAATTTTCCGACACAAGTCCTAAGGCTGCCGTAAATGTTTCCATTTTGAAATGTTGATATTCTATAAATTGGTTTAATTGTTTTAAATTGAGAATTACTCTAAATTTTCCATTTTTCTTTGGTCTCACAAAAATGTTTGATATAAATTCATCATTGTCATCACCTGTAGTGACAAGTTCAATAATTCCCTTTTTTAAAAGCTCACCAATTTCATTGTCTATTATAACTGAATCTGTGTCGTTAAATTTGATTGGTTTTGGAATAAAAGTCTGTGAGGGATCTGAGTCAAATTCAATCGAGTAGCCATTAACAAAGCTAAGAATATTAGAGTCACTCGTGATTAACTTCCAATTTCCAAAATAGTTTGATATTTTTCCCGCTGAAAAATTTTCGGAGGTGTTTTGAAATCTACTCACATTACTATCTGCATGTTCTGTAGGAGCTATTGCTTCCTCTATTTGTTGGCTGGAGCCGTTCTCTTTTTGTAGTTTGATCCCCAGCGTTGGCCTAAAAAATTACTGGCCTTGTAGTTTCCATAATTGGATGATTTCTGCATGTGTCCATGCTGTTTGCGGTTATGATTTCCGCGCTTGTCAAACTTGTTAAATCCCGATATTTTGGATCCCACTTTATTGACCTTTAAGATGTCCTCAACTTTTTTGCCAAGGTCGTCACCAAATAACTTGTCGGTGACAGGATATTCGTTAGAACACAATGCCCGGAATTCTTCGTTCTTCTCGGGTTGAATGATTAGTTCTCTTCTCCTGTTTGACAGGTCGCAATAGACATAAGTCATAAGTTTCAGACTGTCCATTGCTAAGGTAGTGAGCTCTTTCATGGAGGGTGTCTCTCCTTTTTGTTTTGCATTTAGCAGCAAATTAATTTGTTGTAGTTGCGGGACAATGGCTTTTCCGACAAGTGTCTGGGTTCTTTGTATCCGAATGTCTTGGCCTCGGACTTTGCGGCTCAAATGAGCTCGGATTTCCTCATTTAATTTTGGAGTGACAAGATTCTGAACATTTTTAGGTCGGTTATATTTGTCGCTCACTTCCTTTATTTTTTCAGAGTCTACTACCGTTCGAACGCCATCATTTGTTACTTTGGCGAGTTTTTCGTGTATTGCTTCGCCACACTTATCCTCTGAGCCAAAACATTCGGCCAGCTCATCAAGCAAATGGTCACAATCAGTGTCTACGTCTTCATTTGTCTCGTTTAAAATGTCATCAAACTCGTCTCTCTCTTCATCAGAAACGTCACTTAATTCTACGCGCGACTGAGATGTACAAGGTTTTTCATCCGATTCTTGGATCTTGCGCTTCTTTCCCTTGTTCTCTTGTAACTCGCTCACAGTAGTTGTAAGTGACAAAATGTTCTTTTGCATCTCTTTCATCATATTGATGATGGATGCATTGTCTTTCCCTCCCTCATCTTTTTGTTCACTGAGGGACTTTTCAACAGGCTGACACTCCGAGTTTACACTCATTTTTACTGTATATACAGTTTTTCTAAAATGCGTCTATACGCAAATTCAGCGTCTATACGCTATATAATGTCATAAAAGACATAAATGTTGTTGGCATATACAATGTATATCACGAAGTCACAAATCACAAACTTTTAACTAATTCCAATTGAAACAAAAGAAACTGAATTTACGTCTAATTCCGAACCACGCTAACTTATCTATGAACCACGCGGTAACCTTATCATCTCATTTGAGACAGAGGCACCCTAGGGGAGAAGAAACTGGTCAGAAAATCCACACGTTCTTATAAACGGCACTTCACGACACGAACAATATTTTGTTCCTTTCAATTCTTTGGAATTTCATCTCGACAGAAAGCTAAGGCACGTTCAGCTAAGTTAAATAATCACAGACTTTGTAACAAATCTTCAAAATAGACGTGCCTTACTTAAGCGTGGTCAGCATGCGGGTTATCACAATACAACTGAATGACTCGCTGAGCTGAACACGTGACCTTACACCTTCTTCCACACGTAATCAATCAACCAAGGCGTGGATCTAAGAAATTTCACATTTTACCAAAATTAATCCTACCGGAAATCTGCAACTAAGTTATCGCATTCAATACATAAATACAATTATCATTCTAATAATTGTTGTTGAAATTTTCAATGAAAGCGTTAGCGTATCGAACAGCAGAAGGTCACGTGAGAAAGGTGATTATAATATCAATCGTTGATGCTCGGTGACCGGTTAATTTAGTAGCTATCCCGACACTAGTTTAGGGACATTTTTTTTAAATTAGATATGAGCCGCAACTTGGCTAACATTGTCCTTTGGATATGTTTTAGTTTAAGTTAAAATACACATTCTGTGCAAATAAGAAAAATGGCCAAGTTGCGGCTCGATGTAAACAAAGTCGTTGAAAACTGGTATGCATATAAATAACAATAGAAATGAGATAAAAGTGTTAGACCCCAATCTCAAAAGCTAGTGTCGCTCGGCATTATTTAATACTTTCATGTAATTTAATATACAAAAACCTGCCCTTAAGATATTGTTTAATACCTATAAAACATAAATTTAATGAATTTTGGAATTTTATTTTGCGCAAAACATCGGGATCCAACTCTCATAGCTTAAGTGCAGTCATTCTTTCATTTAAAATATTTTTCCTTCAAAAGAAGTAGTGTTTATTTTTTCTCATTACGGACTCCATCTTATAGTCAGGAAAGGTGGGGCCAAAAAAATATCCCACACCTTGTACAAAAGAAAACTAGTACATGTATTTTCTACCACAAAAACAATAAGCACCTTAAACAAAAGAAACTAGTACATATATTTTCTACAATAACAATAAGTATGGAGGATTGAAGGGGTGAACGTGGGTAAAATTTGTAAACCACATTTTCGGAGCCGAAAGTTATTTTTAATAAGGATAAGGCTAATAGCCGTAACTAAATGGCGCTTAAATATAAAACCTGGAAAATCCCTTCGAGACCCATGAATTCACACAAAATAGTGATTAATAAAAATACGTTGTATGCATTTAGATCACATAAATTCCTTTATTTACATATTAATACACTTGTGAAAAGCTTTAAGTGATTGTATTGCCTACATGAAAACATTTGGATATGATTTTACCAGATCAAACTAGATTTTATTATGCATGTTCAATAGAAATAAACAGTTTAAAAAACAAATATACTAAGGTTTTTTAAGGTGATAAATTATTGTTATATCTTCTTACATCTAATATAATTAACATAATTATTACTATCAGTTTACCTGTACAATCACATGTTGATGAAAATCTGTCGAATTTGCAGTAAGGGTGTTTATCAGAGGGACATATGTGCCCACTGCACTCAGTATGAGTATGACAAGCTGATGTTGATAGTAGAGTCAAAGTTGTTGACTGGGCTGATTTGGGTGTTGAAACTACTTGTGTGGATAAAATAAGAATTAATGAATAATTTAAATCATTGTATTTAACTCAAAACTATCGCGTATGTTTTTTAAAGTAAAAAAAATTTTGTTATTGATTTTAGTTATAACCCGTCGTTGGGAATTTTTGAGTGTGAAAGTATCTACCATGTAGATTTATAAATGCATTTTAAAATTTAAAAATATTTTGGCTAGACTATGAAAACTTTTTTTTTTGGATTCAGTTGTCCCTTTAACATATTGATAGAACACAATATCTTACGCTATGGTTACAAAAAGTATCTTGAATGGAATTTTTTCGCATAAACATTTAAAGAAATTTGCAAATGCATAATTATACTTGTGTTCCTCTGTACAGATTAGAAACGAGAAAACTCGTCCTTTTTGTCTGTTTTTACAATTGGCTAAGTGAATTCTTGATTCTCAAAACAATTTTTTAATGATACGAAATAGACAGCTTTTCACCTGCTATTGTTGTTTTTGTCGTTGTGCTTGTTGTTGCTACTGTCGTACTTGTTGTCTTTATTGTTGTGTCTAAATGTAAAATTAACAAATAATCAACAATGTTAAAATGTTCTCTGGGAAATGAACTTAGTTGGTAACGTAATCAAATCCTGTGAAGCCCGAATTGCTTCTCAGTAGATTTGATCATGTATCTACTAACTTCATTTCCCAATGAACTTTTTTACATGTTAACGCTGTTTATTAAGGAATCACTGTTAGTATAGTATGCCAGGGCATCAACGATAGTGGGAAACATGGAATAATTCGCATAACGGGCGAAGCCCGTTGTGCACAATTTATCACATGTTTCCCACTATTGTCGATGTCCCTGGCATACTATACTTACTAGACAGTGATTCCTTATATTTCCATTTCATTGTGAAATAAAATTGTAGATTTAGATTTTAAAAATGTAGACATACTATACTTACTAGACAGTGATTCCTTATATTTCCATTTCATTGTGAAATAAAATTGTAGATTATTTTAAAAATGTAGACATAGATTATTAAATAAGACGAGGACTCCCTTGCCAAATCAATAGCCCTCTCCCACTGACGTTGAACACAAAGGCAGTCGCACGAGATTTACATGCAAATTTGACCTCCTTAGTGTCAAAGACAGGGACAGATGAGCACTAGATTTGAATGCATATTAGGCCTCCTTAGCTCCTGACCTATCGACCTGTCTAATTTGCATTGCCGTAGATTTATCAAGAAATCAACTCCGCTAACTTTCAAAGGGTTATCACAGAGAAAAAAATAGAAATCAAAATACAGTACAAGTGGACCTTCAGATATACGGACACCAGATATCCGGATGCTTCAGTATCCGGACGACTTTTCATTGGAACGGAACTTTTAATGGTATTTTGTCTTGTTTAAGTGGTTATTCAGATATCCGGACGCTTCACATATCCGGACAGATTAACAGGAACCAAAGCGTCCGGATAAATGAAGCTCCACTGTATATTCCAATATTTACATTTGAACGAAATATTTCGAATGAAACTGTATATATTACACGAACGGGACGCTATCTCGCAATGATCTAGATGTATTTGGTCTCGAAAGTTCGCCTCACTCCAACATCTGAATGTTTACCTTGATGTTCAATAGTCCAGAGTCCAGTTAAGGAATTCTCTGTTTATAATGTAAGAACAATGGTCCCTACTGGGAATAATCTTACTATTTCATGAGTTCGTAATATATTTGAAGTCAAAAACGGCGGTATTGCTTAAGTGTTTACATAAATTCAAAGGAACTTCGGGGGAAAAGGTTAGTGCGGTTTCAGGCTTCAAAAGAACATCTATTGTACATCTGTTGATTGAAAATTATCCTTTAGTTTCAAAAAGTTAATCTTTTTCATAGTTGCCCTCGCGGCGCAGTGGTTAGAGCGTCTGCTCATGACTCGCGAAGTAAGGAGTCTATCCTTAAGTCGCGGGGTTTAAATACCACTGTGGGACGTTTGAGAGCAGTCCTTCGGATGAGACCGTATAAATGGAGCTCCCGTGTCGTAGTAGGTTCTGGTACGAAAAAGATGCCTTAACTGCTCAATGCCCTGAGTGCCGAGCATAAGGCAAAATGTGTAGCACTCCGCCAGCAAGTGGTGGTGTCTCCATATGAGTGATAAATTCTCGAGAGGGACGTTAAATAACAAACAATCAATTAATCAATCAATCATCATAATTAACTTGGAAATATTCCGGAACCAGTTGCACCGTGATAGAAATATGTGGGCAAAATACCATCTAGCCGTGTAATTCGGTCGAGCTATGACCTCTGACTCCTAGATAAGTTAATACAGAATTGAACATATTTTCTCTTCAATGTCTTCATCTTCAAAAATTATTTGCAAATGTTAATATAATGAAATGAACATTCTTTGCTGATCGAGCGTAAAATTCAATACTAAACTTTTGTTTAAGAGCAATATTTAATAATTCATTTGATTTTTTTTAATTTTAGATTTTAAAAAAATGCTTCCTTATGTTACTCTCTGCTATGGTAAATTAAAATGTTATTAATTTTTTAATACCAAAATATTTCAATTGTACTTATTTTCTATATATTGGAAATGCAAACTCTTCATACAAGGATATTCAGATAGAATCATTTCTTACAACTTGTTGCATGAAAGTAGACATGTTATGCTCTTAATTCTTGTAAGACTTTATAGTGAATGGAAAACTATTACATGAAAAATCTGCTGAATTTTAGAGAATTTTTTTTACTTCTATAGTCCTTAAAAGAATACAAAAAAGAAGCGGTGAAATGTTTTAAGGTATTTACAGCGAAAGGGTCTAATGTGCGATTGTTCTAGATTGATACCAGTACTCTCAGCTAAAACCATTCAAAATTAATATGTTTATAAAACAGAAATTTTTAAACAGACTTTGGACAGTTTCGACTTGGGATAATTACTTCAAGCGTCCTCCAAGCTCTCACAAATATATATTCACTGTATCTCGTAAAATATTGCGACTGGAGTATATGTCTATGCGTTTAAAAATTATAACCGAAAGGTAAGAGGGTTAAAGTCTAAGTTTGAAGATATTTTTAAGAAATGTTTTTATTTTCTGAATTTTAAGCTTAGATCTCGACGCTTAAATAGGAAAAGAATGATGAATTCTTTAATTTTACGGTAACTTTCAAAGTTTACTGGATACCGTCTTGAAAACATTTGCTTGCATAATGTTAAAATTGTATTAATTTGTTTTTTTAAAAAAACTTATTCAAAGTATACACCATTTTTAGGTGGAAGCCGCCTATTACATTTGCTTTGTTGACCTTTCGACCTCTCAAGATGTTTGCCCCGTTTCATGGTACTCCAAACGGATGTATCTTAAACTAAGGGCATACAACCCGATAAATCATATTCGACCCCCATTCCCAATCTTTATCGTTATTATCATATCAAAAAGCGTGTGTTATGGCGAATTTATGTTAACAATTTTATTTTGATCAATGTAAAAAAGTCCAATGAAAATAATATAGCCTAATAATAGAACGAATAGTTACTTTAGTATTCCTGATACGTTTCACGTTTGAGAGAAGAACGAACGACAATTCTGTATGTTTAAAACATAAACAAATCGGGTTCAACGTTTGATTAGCACGGGGTCCTGAAGCGATCTTTCTACGAGGGACAAAATAGTTCAAGTAAGTAATTATGTTTAAGAATTAATGACAGGTACATAGCTACTGAGGAACTAATTTTTTCAATAATCTTGTATAAAATAGAAGAAAAGAGGTATGTAACTCCTTTTATCAATTGTTTATTTATATATATACTACACTCGCGTATTAATCTAACATATGACGATTCAGCGTGAAATTATTGACAACAAACCCACGTGGAGCACAAATGATTTACATGCAGTAGTTGAATGGAAATGACAGGGCTTCTCTTCAAAATAAGCAAGGTAACTCACGCTGTGTGATTAGCCTGTCTTTTATTGTCACCCTTAATTATCTAGCTTTTATTGTTTTAACTTGAAAATGTCGCCTCCCAATGCAGGCATGCTTTAATTTAGATATCGTAATATGATAGCTGTTATGGTCGGTTCTTATCGAAGGAACTGGTACTCTATAATTACCATGATTACATGCCTGGGAGAAATTATTTGTGGAATTATCAGTTTGTGTATACATTAATATATCCTTATTCATTTAATGTGAATACATGTATGTTGAAGGATGGGCCAAAACTGTAAAATTTGGACAGAAATTAAGATGCAAGCATGAGAACTACATTGTATTTTAGTCTGTAAAGATGTGTCCTTACGGAGGCAGCTAACAGAAAGTGGGATAAAATTAAGATTGCATTGTGAATTTGCTCTAAATGGCAGAAGAAAACTCAACTCAGCACAACCAGAAACACTTTTCTGAAGGTGAGTACATCAATTTATTATATTTCTAGTGGAATTTTTTTTCATAAGTTATGATACATATTTTTGAAAGCATAACAAATATTCTTGTTATGATGGCAAAAATGAACCGAATACTGTTTTTGAAAGTATATAATATTTTGACATTTCTTATTTTTGTTGACTTATTTTCTTTTCATTTTTTTTAAATACATGCAAATACATGATTACTTATAATAGTAGGCTTTTGAGAGAGAAAAAAAAATACAAAAAAATATTATAGAAGTCAAATCGGTCAATATTAAATTTTACTCTGACTTTTTCCAATTGAATACACAGTTACACGGTAAAATGTAGATAAAAGTTTGATCTTGGGCCTAGTTAAGCTCTGTTAACCCACAAAGCTAATTTTATCATATTTATCAATGTAATATATGTACTAATAATTATCAAATCCATTGGAAATAATTTTTGGTACTAAAATTAGTCATCAAATAAAACACAAATGCACAATACAACCAAAATTACAAAAGGTTGTTTTAATTGGATCTATTTGACAAACTGCTGTGTACACATGTAGGTTATATAACTAGCGAAATAGGGGGGGGGGGGGGGGGCAGATGTTGTTGGTCAGGATCGCTAATCTTATATTATATCATTTGTTGGTTGTTTCCAGTATAAATACACTAAACTACACAAACTGACTTTCAGCAGTTTTGAATCTTTTGTTATTTCTATATACCCACTTCACTCTTGAAGTGGGTATAGTAGCATTAATTTCTATACATATCAGATTTCACTGAATGAATGAATGAATGAATGTAGATCAAGGCGATAACGGATGTTTTACAGCTAGGTGCAGATGAAGACATACTAATTACCATTTGCATGCTTTAGTTATAATTGATAAGTTTTTGATAAAAATGAAATAAGAAATAATATACATCCGAGTAACCGAGTACCTATTTTTAGTATTCGATACTTGGACGTTGGATCGAGTCGGAGTGCCCGGTAAAGTTGACTTCCCTAGAAAATATATTAAACTAGAGGTACTGTGAAGTTGTGAACAATGAGCTCACTAAATAATACCCCCCGCCTCCCATATGAATATAATGGCAATATCCATGTTTTGCTCTGGAAAATCCAAAATAAATGTCTGATCAAAATGTGAAATATGAGGTGCACAATGGCAATATGTTATAAAGATTCTGGGAAAGTTAATTACATTTCCTTCAGTGGATAAGAGTTGCGGATAAGAGATGGGTACCCCAAAGCGTAACAGACGTACGGACGGACATACCAATTACTATATACCCTCCCACTTTTCAAGCGGGGGTATAAATATATCATGATAAAAGGTTATATGAAGTCCTTGATTTCATTTATTGAAAGTCGGATACATTGTAAAATAATTTTTGTTAAACATTATGAGATATTCTTAATTTTTTTTTTCAATTATACACTTTGTAGAAAATTCTGCCAAGTGACAGTTGTGAGGGGAATTGTGTATATAATCTCCAGAAAAGAAATCACCACTAATATTGGGATGTATGTACCAATATTTTACAATCATCAAAGACAAATTTACCACAGGAATGAAAATAAAATTGTCTGGCGTTCAAGGGCCTGCCATGGTAGAAGCTCTCCTGAAAAAATATTCCATTTATTGTGGACATCATGACACAGGGTTCACCTGTCATCAGCATTAGAGACTTGCGATTTTTTCTACCTGGACCATACATTTATTGGATGAAAACAATTCATAGAACCACAAACACATTGTAAATCTATATGAGGTCTTCTATGTATGTTGCATCCTTATTTAATTTGCTGTTTTATAACAAGACTTAACACATAAAAAAAACTCCAAAGCAATTGTGATATTTATTGTTTTCTATTACTCATTAGAACTCATTTTTGTGTGAAATTTTATAATTATCCATTTCTTGTTCCTCAAAACAATATCTTACAAATTTTATGTATTGCAACTTGCACTTCAATTTTAACTTGTTATACTTGACAAAAACTAGAGGTATAGTGAGCAATGAGCTCACTAAATGATAACCCCGTCTCCCATATGATTATAATGGAAAAGTCCATGTTTTGCTGTGGCCGGGAAACCCAAAATATGTGTCGGATCAAAAAGTAAAATAGGAGGTGCACAATGGCAATGTAATAAAGATTCTGTGAAGGTTTCATTTTCACTCAGTGGTATGAGAGGAGTTGCGGATCAGAGATGAGTACCCCAAAGAGTAACAGACGGCCGGACGGACAGTTAGACGTACAGACGGATGGACGGACATACCGATTACAGTATACCCTCCCACTTTTCAAGCGGGGGGGTTTAATAAATGTTAAAATGTTCATGTTGCTATTGACGTCACTTATACTCATGTCTCCGCTTCAAAGGGAGACGGGAGATATATTGTTTATTCTTGTTCCTTGGTTTCAATACTACAATCAATCAAAATATTTATCACCCCCCCCTTTAAAACAGATTATGCTTCAAATATGTGTAATTAAAGTTTTGCAATGAGGACTTGCAATCATGCTTCCGCCTATCAGTACTCTCAGTACTTTGATTAATTTTCAAATTGTCATTGACTTTGTACATACCGATAAAATTGATCAAATACCTGGTGCTAGTCCACAAATACATCTATGATAATTATGTATATAATCAAAGTGACATTGGCCAATCAGTCCTTGAGGGCAAAGACAATGACTATGTTCTGTGCAAACTGAAATTAGAAAAAAAAAACTTTATTTTGTATAAGTACAGAGCAAACAGGACGTCCATGGGCCTTACAGGTCACCTAAGTATCATGTAAAAAACTTTCCAACAACTGCATTTGGCTCGTATTTTTAACCAGAGTGTATGAAATGTACAATTTTGAAAGAGACACCATTGTTAATTTTAATCATGCAAGAAGCATGCTTCGTTTGATTGCAATATACCAAGAGGTGGAGAAGGTGAACGAAGAAAAATGCATATCCACTACCAGTATCAACCAGCAAGTACCCCCACCTCACAGAAACACCTGGCCCTTGGCAATACATTTCATAATTTTGGAAATGACACCCGTCATCATCATAAATGCTTCGTTAATAACAAGGAGTAGATTAAAAAAATCACATTCAGTATATAATCATAAGATCCCTCCTCCCCTGGTACATGTACCCCTGACCAAGGGATCTTGAGATTCACAAGTCTACAAGAATGATCATTGTTCATCATAATTATGTTCATGTTTGATATGTCTAAAATACCAATGAACAGAGAAGATTTTCAAAGTATTCATCTATTTTCACTACTTGATCATTAGAGTCCCATCGTAAGGGTCTTCCACACCCCAAGACTTGAGAGGTATGAAATTAAAAGAAAATAATATTACTTCCAGTTTTGAATAGTTTGTGGACTGACGATTTGCCTGGCACCACTGGAAAGAGAGTCTTAGGAACGCTTTAGAGGGAAAGGTTTTGTCAGGGAAAAGTGTATTAAACTGAAAGCAACACCCTTATCATAAACTATGAACACATATATATGGCATAATCATGAAGAAAGAAAAATGACCAATTTTTTTAAATAAAAGAACAACAGACTTTAATTTTTTTTTAATCTTGCATTATTCGTAAATAAAAGGAACTGGTATAATGAGAAAAGTTAAAAGTTATTTATTTAAACCAATGCCATATCTCTACCATCAACAAAATCTTTGTTGAATGTTGATATTTTTGCATATTTAAAATTGGTGAGTTTCAGTGATACATATCTCATACTGTGTTCACATGTATAAATATTTGAAAATACTGTGCATTTCTAGTTTTGCTCATTTATATCTTTCCAGCTCAGTTGCCAAAAAACCCACTTCAGGCCTTGGGGCCATAAAACTTAGACGAGCTCACTTTTGAGCCCAGTCTCACTTTTTCCAAAGGAATAAATAGTGGAAAATTGAGACTGAGATCAAAAGTGAGCTCGTCTAAGTTTTATGGCCCCTAGGCCAGCATAATGACTTTTGTTGGATAAAAGTCATATCCAACTACAATCCATGGAAAAAATCACCAATTTATTTAATAAAAGAACAACAGACTTTAATTTTTTCTTTAATCTCGCAGAGATTCTTTTCATCTAATGTTTAATGCTTTAAACCAATGTTTTACACTGTATTTATGTAGGTCTCAACTTTATTTTACTTCATCACGCTAACGCAAAAACCATTGTGTCGTCATGACTGCATTTAACTGATTATTGGATATAAAAATAATTTATAGAACAACTGTTTAAATCCTCCAAGACGATAAAGAAAAGATGGGAAGTTTAATTTTTTTAACAAAATGCATTTTAACTACACCTATAGATCACCTAACACGAGAACATTTGACCAGATAAGATTTCAAAATTTTGAAGCGAACACCGTAAAATTTATTATAATTATGTAATTAGCTTATTACCCATACCAGGAGCAGCGACGTTTTCAAAGAAATAATGCATTTTTCACACACCGTTTGTTAAGAATACACCCCCTTTCCTATCAGAAGACTCCTGAACCCTTCAATGGTCACGAATTCTACATAATTGTAGAGGCAACCTTGCCCGATATAATCATGCTCTTATTTGGATAAATAACCATGAATAGAGAAGGCAATTGAAAAAAAATATAACATGTTCACTTTATCATCATTTAAGCCCCGCCAACGCTTTAACTGATCTATGGGCCATGATTTTCACAATTTCGAAAAAAGGCTTTTTTAACTTGCTCAGTTTTAATCTTGATTTATACATCATGTAAAAAGAGGAACAAACTTATATTATTCTTAAGATATTCATTTTTATATAGTTAATGATGGCTGTACGTTTACCTGTACAATCACATGTTGTTGAGTATCTTTCGATTTTGCAGTAAGGGTGTTTATCAGAGGCACATAGGTGTCCACTGCAGTCAGTATGAGCATGACAAGCTGTTGTTGATAGCGGAGTCACGGCCGTTGGAAGCACGGATGTGGTCGTTGTAAATACTTGTATGAATAAAAAGAGAATTAATGAATAGTTTTAATATTAATAAGTATTTCTTTCAAAACTATCCACGTTTTTTAAATCAAAATTTTTAATTAGCTTTTTAATGATTTTTCATGATAGTTCATGTGGATACTAGACGTCATTGTGGGTAGAAAAAAATAGGAATTTTACTGTGCTTAGTATAATCTCTGTTTTGTTTTGTGTATTTTAATACATCATTTATATCTTAAGAACAGAAGATATTTTGCAATTGTATTAGATAGGTGTTGTCTTTAATCAATCTAAGATTTCTCGGGTAGATTTCAGTTGAGAAATTTTACCCCAGAAAATGCTGAATATCTATTAGAACTACCTTGAATACTTATGAAAACAGCTGAGAATATTGGTGAACAACATCTATAAGAACTACTGAGAATATTTATGAGAAAAACTGAGAATATTTATGAGAAAAACTGTGAGTATTTATGAAAAAAATGGGAATATATATTTACGAGAAAAACTATGAATATTTATTAGAACTACTGAGACTCTTTTAAGATCTACTGGGAATAGTTTTGAGAACTACTGAGAATATTTATAAGATTCATGAGAACAAATTTTAGAGCTATTGAGCATATTTTGAAAGACATTAGAATATATTCGGGTCACAGAGCACTTTAGGTCATATAGTTTTAGAATCGGCATGGCAAATGACCTAGCCAAACAAGGAAGATGGCGATCAACTTCATATTTAACTTACATTAGGAGACAATAAAACTGTCCCCTGTTATTGTAGCACCTACATACTCTTACAAAGATTTTTCAGTACCCCAACCGTTTGGATACTGGGATCATCAATTCCATTCTGGGCAGGCCACAATGCTGCAACCTATCGACCAGGTGGAAGTAACCTTAATTTACCTGCCACAATTACTTGGTTAGGGCATAGGGGTATGTACTGGGATCAGTTAGACAAGGCAGTCTCTTATTATTTACTCCAGCTATCTACACCCAAATTTCTATTGATACACCTTGAGTCTAATGATTTAACTACACCAGATTTAGCAAGCATTAAACGTATTCATCAAATGCAGTGCAGCTTATATCGCTATAACTCACTTCTCCCTAGTACCACTTTAATCTTTTCCTCAATGTTATCTAGGCTCTACTGGCATGGAGTCCATCCCACAGCAGGTGCAAAAATTAACCCAAAAAAGGAAAAAAAAAAACGGTTCAAAGTAAACAAGTCCATCAAAAAGTTTATAACCAGAGAAATAAATGGCCGTTACATAAACCATGACTCAACCATTAAAATCTCGGAAATACATTTGTCAGGCATGATGGTCCCCATCCTGCCTCAAAGCAGGGGGGCGTTTTGGTATGTAATACATATGTGCATGTTGCACATAAGTTGTCTAAAGTAATAAAGTGATTTCCTAATAGTATTAAAACAACTCAATCACTTTAAGTAAGAATAATATATTAATTATGAAAATTGAATAGATAACCCAACAAAATCCGGGAGCTCTCACATAATGGCCTGCACCTGGCTTGGCGGAAACGCGGGAAGAGAGAGATCGGTGAACTCTCGAGCCCGATCCAAATTACAATTTAAAAACACCCCCCAAATACACTACATCCCCCCTATTTTGTGGAGGAATGTCCCAATGCCGACAAAGTGGAGGCCATTTACAACATTAAATCACATAACACTTTTGACACAATAGATCACAATTATCTTCCTGTGATTTACAATACAAATTGATTAAATATAATCCGCGATAAATCTCTTCCATAGAAAGTGTCCAGATTATCATATGGTTAGCTTTAAAACATAAACAGTTCAAATAAACACAAATTCCGGATCCCTGAAAATGGCTGCAGCAGGCGGCATTTGCGAACACGCCTGCATGGATCCTACCAAGGCTCCAAACACAGGACACCGACATCTGGAACAAAACGCTGAAAACCAACTTATTAACAATACAAACATGTCTCAAGCCCCCGCTCAGAGAGCTAGGAGCATGGACACCCTAACTAAATTTTTTCTCACCACAGCCCTAATGCCCCTGGACTATGAAAGCCTGGGGCCCGTAATGAGGATCTGGCATGTTCTTATAGCTTCCAGCTGGACCACCTGTCTTCACAGAAAGTCCATTATGGTCAACACAGGCCTTAAATTGCTTTATATTGATCCTGGGAGCAACTGTCCGCACTGACCTTGTGCTTCCTTAATGCAGAGCCTGAGAGGTTCTGCAACCCTCTATCCTAAATTCACCAGCACCACAGTGCAACTCAACCCCAGCCTCCTGCATAAAGTCAATGCCCAAGAGCATGTCAACTTGCAGAGGTGCAACATATACAGGGTGCTCAAGCTGAGTCTTCCCTATTTCAATTGGTAAAGAACCCAGAGCGCCTACCTCCATGGTCACCCCTCGCCCAGCCATGTCCACATCTGTCCTTGCTTTGATCTCTGGGGGCGGAGACATTCGATCATAGACTGTCTGCGATATGGTAGTTATCTCTGCAGCAGTATCCACTACAACACTAACTTTATGACCATTCACAGTGACAGGCACATGCCACGCCCTTTCCCCATAGCCAAGACTTGACCTTGCAGACAGGGCCACCCTTGAGAATTCTGATGCGCACACCTGCTTACTCTCTGTGCACTTTCTTTTACTCTCATTTGAAGCAACTGATTTGGACACAATTCTCTCAGGGCACTCGCGTCGGAAATGTCCC